TGCAAACAGGCAAAAAAGGGAGAATTTCACATTATTTCAGAACAAACCCTTAAGAATAAAGTAATGAGGTTTTGTTTTTATAAGATTTTTGGGTTTAAAATAGAACATAATATAAGAAATTTATAAACTATAAGATAGGCAAACGAAATTTATAGCTTAAGTTGGGAAAACCGAGACGGGAACACACGCATATATTCCTGGTTAGAAATATCGCGCACGAACAATCACATCTATATAAGGTTGAGAAGCCGGGCAGGGAACACACATACACACAAAAAAAAAAAAAAAAAAAAAAAAACGGGAGCGGCAAAATAAAGACGAGTTTCACGAACTTTTCACTGATTTCGCAAAAAATCATTTATTCGAGATATTTTTTGATGGCAACTTTACTAACAGATAGGCTATTTAACAGATTGCATTGAAGGAAAACAATTACACTTTATAATATGTATAAGTGGCAGTTTAGATATATGTAAATAGTAAGCAGCAGTAAAATATCGTCTGCATATCCTGAGCAATGTCGTAGATCACGGCGTATTAAAACAATATCTATTCTTACAAACCAAAATTTTACAAATAAATATTATATAAGTATAGGTTTAAAGTTATTAGTACGTACTAACAAAATAAATTGGGTAAGGCTGCGAATTCATTAAGTTCTTTAATTCATTAATTCATTAATTCATTAATTCATTATTCATTCATCATTCATTCATTCATTCATTTATTCATTCGTTCGTTGTTCGTTCGTTCGTTCATTCATTCATTCATTGGGTGATTACCGTATCAATCACTTTGATTGTAAAATTGGGCGGGGTTTAGCTTATGCAGGTCTTTATTTTCCAATTTTCAATGAATAAAGGTGATGATGGTAATGCTGATGATGATTCTGATGATGATGATGAATATGATTATGACATTAAAAACAGTTTTAATATTTTCTTTATTTTTAAATATAATGTGATATTCGTAAACGTCATTAACGAAGTTTTTCAGTATTCGATGCATAGAAATCACGTCTTTCTATTTTGCATTGAAATCAATGTTTATTTATTTATTTTAGTTTGACCAGTGTACATAAATGACATGACATTTACATAGAATATAAAAAGTGTATCAAAGATACGTATTTTTTGACATAACATTTAAAATACAAATCACCATCAAATCTTCAAAATAACCGGGTTTATAGAAGCGCGTTTCTTTTACACTTTTTATGATACAATCATTATTTATCTTAACACACACACATATATATATATATATATATATATATATATATATATATATATATATATATATATATATATATATATTATATATATATATATATTATATATATATATATATATATATATGTTACATTAGTACGTTTTCCTATATACCAATACGTCAGGTTATTCGAAAGCATCTTAGATCAATAATCATTTAAAGTCGCTAACAATTCGTCTGCTAATTTACCGATAACAAACGGTATCGCTGAGATCTTTGTGTTTTGGCAAAGCAAGAGTTCTGAAGATATCTCATATTGCAGAGAAATATATATATACAATGCATTCACAGCTATTTTTTCTTCATTTGTCCGTATTAGTTTCTACACATATATGACTGATACGCGGCGTATGGAAACCGTTTTTTTCTTCTCACAAGTTTCCATAGATTACTTTTAACGTAAACTGTGAAAAATTCACTATTTTGGCAGGGAAAAAATGTAAACTTTAAGATCAATAAATGCTTTTATAGATTGCTCTGTCCGTTTGTTTGTTATAATAGATATAATTTACATGCGTGTCGCACAAATCAAAATATAATCTCTTTTTTTTCATAATTTCAATAATCAAGTTTGACTTTTATTTGTTAAGATATTTTTTATGAAACATATACCATATTGTTTAACATATGTACTTTAAGATAAATGAATGTATTATTAGATATTTCTGTCCGTTTATCCATGCTAGTGTCAACAGTTACAATAATAATTTGAAAAACGCGCGCTGCAAATAAAAACGCTTTTCATGATGTTTTATTCTTACGCAGGACGTTATTTACAAAGGCATAAGTTATTCAATATATTGTAGAGACGAATGTATACGTCAAGATACTGAAATACATCTTAAAACAACTCTGCCAGTTTGTCTGCTATAATACACATATTTTCAGGAAAGTCGGACAATGCATATAAATCGGTGTATTTCATTCTTTTATTATCAAGTTTGCCATTATTTATTACGCTATCGTCATGAAACATATACCATATTGTAGGGACATCTGAAAAATTAAAAGTCAACTAAAGGAAACACTAATATATTTGTCCGTTTAAGCGTGATATTGTCCAGAAATACATTCATAACGAGGGGGGGGGGGCACTCGCGCGGCTAATAAAGAAAAACAGTGTTTTTCTTGATATTCAATTCTTACAAAGGACGTTAGTAACTATGTTTCTGTTGCGGAAACAACTCTGTCCGTTTGCCTGCTAAAATAGGCCCCACTAACATACATAAATTCTAGAAAAGTCGGACAATTCAGACAAATCCGTGTATTTCATAATTTTCAATAACCAAGTTTGACTTTATTTGTTAAGATGTCTTTTTGAAAAACATTCCATATTGTAGGGACACATGTATTCTGTAAGATGAATAAACGCGATTATAAATATATTTGTCCGTTGTTCTATGCTATAACTCAGAAATGCAGGGATTATTCGGACAATACAAGCAAATCGGTGTTTTCATAATTTTTATGTGTTGATTTATTGAGAAAAGTATCTTCATTAAACATAAATCCTATTGTAGGGAAACATACGGCGTATAAACATTACGATAACTGAATGCATTCCTATATATATCTGTCCGTTTTTCTATGATAGTGAATAGAAATACATTGTTAAAAAAAACAAAAATAATTACAACTTTATAATTTGTTCATAAATATTGATTGATTTTTTGAGATATTGATAGAATATAAATATTATAAAAGAAGCTCCGCACACATTTGTTCATAA